TCTCTAAGATAAAATTCAGAAATTAAATTGTAAGAGAGTGGCAGATAAGTCATCAGAATCTTGCCATGTTGGGATAATACAATTTACCTCCCCACTGCACTGGAAAAAAACTATCTTCAGGTGGGCATGTCCTGAATCCTCCCAAGCATCCCACCATTTTCATATACAGTAATAAGAATCCCCAGGTATATGGGAAGACGTTATCTTTTATGTCTAGTTCAGATATTATGAATCAGAAAAATCAGCTTGAAATGTCAGAAATTGCATTAACATTTTACATCATCATATCGTAATGATTATATTGTATCAGAAGTTTTATAATTATCATTTAATAAAATTTAATCATGATTATATATACTTCTAAATACACCTCACTCCAAAAAATCCTAGAGAAATGATGCAAATGTAAGAACATTTAGCAAGTAGGAGAAACTGTATAACCACAAGAGAAAAGCAAACTGAGTCAGAAATATAAATACCTACTTTTTATGGTTGGGGTGTACTTCCTGTATACCAATTTAGTAAATTATTAAAGTCTATTTTTAAAAGCAAAAAAATAAAAGGGTTATTCACCAATGTTTGTCTACTTTTCCTTAGTGACTCTGTTACCAGCATTTTACTTTAGCTTTCATTGTTTTAGTCCCTCCTCAAGAGTGTCTGGTAAATAAGAGAAGGAGCTAGTTTTTTCCTGACATTCATAAAAAAGAATGTATACAAGAGACAAAACACTTTATTTTTTTTTTTTTTTTTTTTTTAAATATTAAATTTTATTTTATATTCCCCATACAATTGCAAACGCCCCATTCTAACCCCAATCCTTCCCCTCCCGCCCCCCACCCCCCAAAAAGTGTCTCTGGTTCATAGTTTTTGTTGATTTTGATTTTCACTTTCTTATATTCATTTTCCTGGTCCCTTATTTAAGTTTTCTAGATTCCTGCTATGAGTGAGACCATCCGGTATTTTTCTTTTTCTTTTTGGCTTATTTCGCTGAGCATGATCCCTTCCAGTGCCATCCATGTTGCTGCAAATTGCATGTGTTTATCTTTTTTGAATGCTGAGTAATATTCCATGGTATATATGTACCACATCTTCTTGATCCAGTCATCTATTTTTGGGCATTTGGGTTGTTTCCAAAGCTTAGCTATTGTAAACAGTGCTGCTATAAACATAGGAGTGCAGGTGCTCTTTGGAATTGATGTTTCTGTGTCCTTTGGGTAAATACCTAGGAGTGGAATTGCTGGATCATATGGAAGCTCTATGTTTAGTAGGTCCAGAAATCTCCACACAGCTCTCCATAGTGGTTGGACCAGTTTGCACTCCCACCAACAGTGCACAAGAGTTCCTTTTTCTCCACATCCTCGCCAACATTTGTTGTTGCTAGTTTTTTTAATATGTGCCATTCTCACTGGTGTGAGATGGTATCTCATGGTAGTTTTGATTTGCATTTCCCTGATTACAAGTGATGTTGAACATTTTTTCATATGTCTGTTGGCCATTTGCATTTCCTCTTCAGAGAAGTTTCTTTTAGCTCTTCTGCCCATTTTTTGACTGGATTATTTTCTTTGTTGTTGCTGAGTCTCATCAGCTCTTTGCAGATTTTTGTGATCAGTCCTTTATCATTAGTGTTGGGTGCAAAAATGTTCTCCCAGTTGGTGGGGTTTCTCTTTGTTTTTGTTATTGTCTCTTTTGCTGTGCAGAAGCTCTTTAATTTGATGTAGTCCCAGCTGTTTATCTTTGTCTTCACTATCACTGCTTTGGGTGATGTGTCTGTAAAGATGTCTTTGATGTGCAAATCCCGTAGTGTTTCGCCTATATTTCCTTCTATGTATTTTATGGTTTCAGGTCTTATGTCTAGTTCTTTAATCCATTTTGAGTTGATTTTTGTGTATGGTGTGAGGTAGTGGTCAAGCTTCATTCTTTTGCATGTAGCGACCCAGTTTTCCCAGCACCATTTATTGAACAAACTTTCTTTGCTCCAATGCATAGTCTTTGCTCCTTTGTCAAAGATTAGTTGACCATAAATCTGTGGTTTATTTCTGGATTTTCTATTCGATTCCATTGGTCTGTATGTCTGTTCTTGTTCCAATACCATGCAGTTTTGATGATTATGGCTTTGTAGTATAGTTTGAAGTCTGGGAGTGTGATGCCTCCATTTCCTTCTTTTTTTTTCAGTAGAGCTTTGGCTATTCGGGGTTTTTGGTGATTCCATATGAATTTCATCAATAATTGTTCTATTTCTTTGAAGAATGCCATTGAGATTTTGATTGGAATAGCATTGAATCTGTATATTGCTTTTGGTAGGATGGCCATTTTAATAATGTTTATTCTTCCAATCCATGAGCAGGGGATGTCTTTCCATTTCTTTGTGTCTTCTTCTATTTCTTTTAACAGTGTTTTTATAGTTTTCTTTGTATAGGTCCTTTACCTCTTTTGTTAGATTTATTCCCAAATATTTGATTTTTTTTGTTTCGATAATAAAAGGGTGTTTTTTTTGATTTCTTCTTCTTCAGATTTATTGTTTGTGTATAGGAAGGCTACTGACTTTTGCGTGTTGATTTTGTATCCTGCCACTTTACTGAATTGATTGATGAGTTGAATTAGTTTTTCTGCGGAGATTTTGGGGTTCTCTATGTATATTATCATATCGTCTGCAAATAGTGATAGTTTGACTTCTTCTTTTCCTATTTGGATTCCTTGGATGTCTTTCTCTTGTCTTATTGCTCTGGCTAGGACTTCCAGTATTATATTGAAAAGCAGTGGTGAGAGTGGACATCCTTGTCTTGTTCCAGATCTTAATGGAATTGCTTTCAGCTTTTCACCATTGAGAATGATACTGGCTGTTGGCTTGTCATAGATGGCCTTTATGATGTTGAGGTATGTTCCTTGTATCCCAAGAGTTTCAAGGGCTTTTATCATGAATGGGTGTTGCACTTTGTCGAAAGCTTTCTCAGCATCTATTGATATTATCATATGGTTTTTATATTTCTTTTTGTTGATGTGTTGGATAACGTTGATTGATTTTCGGATGTTAAACCATCCTTGTGCCCCTGGAATGAATCCAACTTGGTCGTGGTGAATTATCTTATGGATACATTGTTGGATTCTGATAGCTAAAATTTTATTGAGGATTTTTGCATCAGTGTTCATTAGGGAGATTGGCCTATAGTTTTCCTTTTTTGTGTTGTCCTTATTCGGTTTTGGTATTAGTGTAATATTGGCTTCATAGAACGTGTTTGGTATTGTCCCTTCCTTCTCAATTTTTTGGAAGAGTTTGTGAAGGATAGGCACTAATTCGTCTCTGAATGTTTGGTAGAATTCATTTGTAAATCCATCAGGTCCTGGGCTTTTGTTTTTGGGGAGGTTTTTAATTACCATTTCAATTTCGCTGCTTGTAATTGGTCTGTTTAGGTGTTCTATTTCTTCTTTATCTAGCTTTGGGTGATTGTAGAGTTGTAGGAATTTGTCCATCTCCTCTAGATTGTTGAACTTGTTTCCATATAACTGTTCATAGTAGTTACTGATTATTCTTTTGATTTCTGCTGTGTCCGTTGTGATTTCTCCTCTTTCATTTATGATTCTGTGTATTTGTGCTGAGACAAAACACTTTAAATTCAACTTGTCTCCTATACCTGACACTTAGAAAACACCATACACATGACAATACTGTTTTCTTTTTTCATGAATTTAAATAGAAATTCCTGGAAAGGATTTTATTACTGAATGTTTTTCTTACAATAGATCTTTGTAACTCACATACCAGGGAGCTTATTTTAAACTCTATTACCATGATTTTTCCAAATATATTTTAAAATTCATTCATTTTACATATCAATACGTTATACATCAGTAGATTCTATTTCTTATGGACATATGTTCTATTGAAATTGTATTTCTGAATCGATAACATATTTATGATAAAGAAATGCTTTTATATAAGCAATTTAAACTGAAGCAAAATTCTAGTAAGAGCACAAAGCAATATTTGCCTTTAAAATTTGAATGGGAAAAAGGAAAGAGAAGGAAAGGGATTCAATATTTTTTCTCTTTCTAATTTTCAATCAGTGGTTTCCTTCTTGTTGCTTTGAAAGAAGGTAAGCCAAATATACACCTGACTAAATATTAAATATATTTTCAGCTTTAAGAAAGCTTGCATATGTGATGCTGAACCACCATGATTCTCTCCCCCCATCTCTGCCACTTAGTTTTGGGAAGGGTTAGTTTTGAAACAGTAAATGCCAAGATTCTATTTGGGTCAATATTAATGTATTTAAATATATATGTGTATTTATATGTGTGTTTATATATGCATTTATATTTAAATAAATGTATTTACACGCATATAGAAAATCCATATACATCACTACATTGTTTTTAATCATTGCTAAAATATAGTATAAATTCAAATTCTATGAAGGATAACCACAAAGAGGTATTTTTGTTGTTGTTGTACCCATGAAGAAGAAAAATTAACTTTACTTAGTAATACAGATTGAAACACTGGAAGGCTTCAATCCCCATGAGCTACTGAGAGAAGATGCTTGCTGTCAATGCTAGCATTCTAATGCGTGCAGTCTCTAAGCCCAGGAGTTCTGTTTTAAATTAAAAAGGAAATTTTAATGGCACAAAAGTGAAAGAAAATTAGGCAAAAAAAAAAGCTCTAGTATTTACAGTTGATGTGTTATTTTAGCTTTTATGAAAGGTAATAGCAGAATGCAGATAAAGGACTATAAGGCCAGCCTTCAGGAATTGATGAAGAACCAAAAGTTAATGTAAATTATAAGGATTTACATAAACTTACATGCTTTGTAAATCCAAAAGTAAATGAAGTTTAAAGATCCACTTCTTCTAGGATATTAATTTATTAGTAAATTTCACTTATAGCATAGACTATAATAAGTATAGAAATAAGTAGATGGATAGATGGATGATCACAAGACCTAGAATATTTCAAATATTCAACATGAATGACCAAATAAATGCTATATAAGCCCTACCTTCTGAACATCAGCATCATGCTTCTGCTGCAGTTTAAGTTTCTCTTCATGATATTTGGCTTCCATCATTTTTGTTTTCATGTCCAACTTCAAGGACAAAAATTTTAAAGTTGTTATTACTTTTTTATCCCTTTGGCAAAATGTACAATCAAAACAAAATAACTCCCTATATCAGAGAGAGTATCATTTTCACTTTTACCTGATAGCCACGTCTACCCATCTCATTACAGACACCAATATGTTAGTTACATTCTTTGATAACTTCCGAGCTAATTAAAAGTCATTCAAATAAATTTCACTTGACAAAAGTGTCAAAGGAAAACTGATACTCTCAATACAGATTAACCAGTTTCCCCCACCCCCCAGAAAATGTAATTTTATTTTTTTCAAAAAATGTAATTTGAAGTGATATTTTGCGAAATCCACTCAATTTTTTAGAACTTACTACTTTTTGAGTAAGTCTCTAGTCAACATTTTTACTTCTTTCATTTCTCACATCTGTGTTTCCATTTTAAATCTCTTATTTACCTACATACTTAAATATATCAGTGAATCAATGTCCATAAATATGGCCTATAACTGATGGGCACACACCTCACTTAACAAATTGTCTACTTCTCTCTCCTAGACTGTAGACCCTGGCTCCCTCCAGGTAAGGGCTGTATCACCTTTGGAGCATTCATTCACAAGTCCTGTCCTGCTTTGTCCACACCTAGAGCACTGAGATTCTGAGCAAAGCCAGCAAAATGCTTGCTTGTTGATAATAATGAGTGCATCTTAGAATTAAAAATTAGTAGTGACAGGTTTGAAGAAAAACAATATAAAATCAATGATCTCAACTGTAAAGTATCTGGCCACCTGATTTTGTACTATTTAAAAGGATATGTATGTCGGAGTGTGATAAACTTCATTTCTAACTCTTTTCAACTCCCACTGTGTATTAACTACTGTGACTTTGGGCAGGTTGCTGAGTATACAGCTTGAAACGAAGTAGGTATGCAAAAAAAAAATTAGTCCACACCTTCATAAAATTTTTCTCTTAAAATATCAAAAATGAAACTCTAAAAATATTTTCTCAAAAATTTTTGAAATATTTTCAATTACCATTTCAAGTAAATAAATGCGAATTCAAGATAAGCATGCATGTTCATATCAAAATTAAAATTTAAAAATTTTACAAACAAAAGATAACATAACACAGATTCATGATACGTATAACCCGTGCACACATACTATGCAAAAGGAAAAACAAGTCTGTCTTCTTTCCCTTGTCTCTAAATCACATGAAGTTTCTCTCTCATTTTAGCAGAGAGGGGGCTGGGTGGTCACAATCCATGTGAAGAATCTTATGAGAAGCATTTTTGGGGTCTATTTAAAAGGAATCAAACTCTAAAAGCAATATAACCAAGCTGGGCAAATTTAGGAGACATAACTCATCACCATATCTTTCTTTTATACCTTGCATTGAACTTGTTATACCCTCAGCTTCTGAGGGTCAACCCTGGGACCATGTTTCAAGAACCCTAACCCACCACCCCCTACCTACTCCACCTCAATCTTGGTGAACAATCAATTAGGAAGAAACAGTTGGCACATGCTTATGGATTCCTTCAACTAGTGGCTAATTATTCAGATTTGCTCTTTCAAGAATCTAAGCTAACAGTAAGTTCGCTGGTATGGGGGAAAACCCAAGTTCTAGAGGGGTGGTGACCAAGAAAAGGCGGATGAATCCAATATACAGAAGAAAGCATGATGAATACATAAACATAGCAAAGACTAACCTCACTGCATCTGAAATACAAGTAAACAACCTTGAGCTCCAAGATCAAGCCTAGGTTTACTTGAATTTGTAAGAATTCCTGTGTTCTTGCAACCAATAAGATTTATCTAAGCTCTATTTTTTCTTACTTTGGTCCATTAAACTTAAAGTTGCTATAATAGCACAAAGAGCTCCCGCTATCCTGTACCCAGATTCACCAATTATTTGCATTTTGTCACATGTGTTTTATCATTCTTAATACCTCTCTCCATATATATGTATATATGTGTATGTAGATGTACATACACATACATACATGTATGAACAATTTTCTGGTAAGTTAGAGACACTAGATGTCTCTATAAGACATCTATAGATGTCACTTATAAGTTAGAGACATCACATCTCTTTGTCACTAAAAACTCCAGTGTACATGTGCTTCAAACAAAGATACTATATTGCATAACCACAGCAGTTATAAAAACCTGGATATGTAATATTAACCAATAATGCTATCTAATACAAAGACCTAGAGATAAGTTTTATCAGTTATCACAATAATACCTAATAATAGCTAATTTCGCCCCGTCCAGAATCCAATCAGGATTGTGACTTGCCTTTAGTTGTCATATCAACTTTATCCTAATCTGAAACAGCCTTTCTTTGAGTTTCTTGACCTTGACACTTTTGAAGAGTGCAGCCAGTTATTGAATGTCCCTCAATTTGGATTTGTCTGCGGTCTCCTCATGATTAGACATATTAGATTTTGGTAAGAATAACACTAAGTGACATAGTGTCCTTTTCCTTCCATTAGGAGGAGTTTGGTTTGTCCCAATATTGCCAATATAAGGTTTGATAACTTTGTCAAGGTAGTGAATGCTAAGCTATTATCAGGGCTGTATAAAATATAAGGTTTTCTATAGTAATTCTTAAAAAAAATAAATAGGAGTATCTCTTCTCTGTAAACTCTTAACTTGACACCACAGAATAGTTCTATATTTCTGTCCTGCGGTCTAAGGCATGATTCATGATAAGTCATCAGGACTAGAATATACACAATCTTACTAGTACAGTATATAAAGATAACACAAGATACAAAATACAGATGTACATATAAATATAAACACAGATATGTATGTGCATCTACATACATACACATATGTATGTAAAACACAGAAAACAGCCTTGTTTCATTTAGTTTAATAAAGGACTAAAATGGAAAGACTTGAATATAACATTTTTAATTTGTATGGCTTCTAGGTAACCTTGATTTCAAACAATGTTTAAGTTTTCTTTAACTAGACTAAGAATGTATGCTATCAATTTCAAACTTAAGAAGCCTAGGGAGCTATTTCAGGCTATAATGGAGTAACCAGCACCAAAATCACCTCCCACCACTAACAACCATAAAATGGAATAAAATATATGAGGTAGGTAACCATTCTGTGGTCTTAGAAAGTAGGCAGTGCCATTCTATCATCCTTATAAACTGAGTCCATGGTAAATCTGGCTCTATGGATGGGCATAACAACTAGAGTTCAAACTGGCCACCACAATACTACTCAACTGAGAAGGCAAAGTTGAGAGTTGTTCAGGGCAGCTGAATAAGCTAGAACATCAAGTAAAGGTTGGGGAAATAGAATACCTTCTCAGTCACTAATATGGCTGACGTGTATGTTGGGTACATGATAGAAAATGTAATAGATACTACAGATTAAAAGTGCTGGGAGACACTGAAGGCCCAGTCCAGCCACAGTGGAAATTCCTTCCCAACACCTTGTGAACACCTAGGCATCCACCATTGAGGCCCTACCCTAGCCATACTCTAAAACTGCCCAATAAAATCTAAAAGGAAGTCTTTATAATTAAGATCCTCAAGAAAGTACAAATTTTGTAGAATGGTATAGATTGGTGGCATGTTGGAGGAGTATGGAAAATATCTTTGGTTTTCCATAGATTCGCCTTTATGTTCACACTGTTAAAGATAAATGACAAGCAATTGAATGGCTTGCAAGAACAACAACAAAAAAAAGCCATTCTATGGAGGAAGAGAAGATAATACAGAGATGCCTGCATTGTATCATCTACAATGTACTACAGGAAAAAAAATAACAAACATACAAAACAAGAAAATGTCATTCACAAGCAAGGGTAAATAAGTAAAATAAGTTATAGACCCAAAGTCAAAATTTTCCCAAGTTTGATTAAAGATGAACCTATTTAGCAAACCAGACCTTAGAGTGGCTTATATAAATTTCTACAAAGACCTAAAGGAAAATATATCCAAAATTAAAGAAAAATTTATTTGAATGAGAGGGTAGATAAAGAATCTCAGCAGAGAAATAGAAACTATAAGTAGGAAGCAAATGAAATTCTAGAATGGAAAACTATAATAACTGAAAGGAAAAAAATCACTAAATAAACTTAACAGCAGATTTGACAGAAGCGTCTGTAAATTTAATGAGAGACCAACAGAAAATATCTAACAGTAGCAGTAAAAGTGGCAACAGCAATAGTAGTAATTGTAGTAACAGCACCAGCAACAATAGCAGTAGTAGTTGTAGTAATAGCAGCAGTAACAGAAGCAGCAGTAGTTGTAGTAACAGCAGCAGTAACAGTAGTAGTTGTAGTAACAGCAGCAGCAGTAACAGTAGTAGTTGTAGTAACAGCAACAGTAACAGTAGCAGTGGTAGTTGTAATAGCAGTGTTAACAGAAGAAGTAGTTGTAGTAACAGCAGTAGCAGTAGTAGTTGTAGTAACAGCAGCAGTAACAGTAGCAGCAGTAGTTGTACCAACAGCAGCAGTAATACTAGCAGCAGTAGTTGTAGTAGCAGCAGCAATAGCAGTAGTAGTGGCAGAACAATTACTTGGAGTAGTAGCAGTATCATCAGTAGCAGCAGAAGCAAGGAGTGGGGAGAATTTGCAGGAGAAAAACAACAAATATTTGATTGATTACAACCAACATGCACTGTTCCTGGCTATTGGCATGCATTATTTCATGTAATCCTCATCATAACCACCATGTAGATACCAGTGTTACCCCCCATTTTACAGTTAATAACACTAAAGCACAAAGAGGGGCCAGTTCAAAGTCACACAAGGCGTGTCTGGATTCATGCTCAGGTACAAAGTCAGGAACCCTACTCAGCAGTGTGGGTCCAGCTAACACACAAGAGCTATATTCTACTGAGTAGCTTTTGTATGCATAAATAAATAAAATAAATCTTAAAAAAAAATATGACAGATGGCCTTTTTTTCAAATAGCTCCCTACATAAACCATAAACAGAACGCAAACAAGGAAAAGAAGGTGCACTCTCTGGTTTTAAT